CCCCCCCCAAATGTCCGTTTCAGTGATGGAGTCCCGTCTGATATCCTCTTCGAGAAGAGCCTTCCGAACAATACACAATCATGTCCTTATTTCAAATGCCTACGGTAATCACGATCTGGAAGTTCCGGTAGCCCCAGTGAGTAGTTCAAAATCGACCTGCAAGAGTTGATCGCAAACATTCAACTGTGCAGCGATGCCTTTTTGTCTGTTAGACTAGGAGCGGTAGGCTAACGATCAGCGCCTGATCTAGTGCCTGCAAATGAAAACCCCAGAATCGACAAGCTCACGGTAGAGTCCGCTAGAGCCGCGTGACAGTGTCAGCATATTGTGTGGCTATATGACTTGCACCGAATATTCATAGAAACACATTGAATGAATGTGCATAAATATACATTATGATATCCCAATGCAATCTCCTGCGGAAGTTACCTGGGAGTTTCGGGGCGCAGTGGTTTCATTGATAATGTATGGATGGGGTTTATTTAAAAAATGCAGCAAGCTCAACACACAAGTGCCAAAAATAAGGTATTTTTACTCTGCAACAGTATCGCCCCTCATCAAGAGCGGAACTCTAAAAAGCGTGATAGTAAAGGTGGTAGTGATTGAAAACCTACAAACTACGGTCCTCGCTGTGCTTTCAAAATTGACGAAACGATGGTTGCTGTGGCCCTAATGGACTACTTAGAAAGATTTAACACAACAGCGCCGAAATAACATGTCGTCCATCAGCACCAGCCATGAACTACCAACAGATTGATTGCGCGTATCAGTTAGACTAAAATCGTAGCTAGTGTGACAAGAAACAGTAGTATTTATCTAGGGTTTTCCAGGTTGCTTCATCGCCGTGATCCCCGTGTCCTCCTTCAAACTTGCAAACCTGCGAAGTTGGGAGTTCTATCTTTGGAGGAAACAGAGGTTTCATTATTCAGCGGAGACTGCAGGTGGTAGCAGGGAGCTCAGTGCTCGATCAACGCTGAGGCGGCGTTTATTTTTGGTCTTCAGTAACGACCACGTGCGCGTTATCACCTCGGGTTTCGTGCATTTCTACCATGAGACCAAAAGTTGGTGGGCGATTGGTAAGTGGAAAGATTACGAACTGCGGCAACAAGACCTGGACGGCGCTTCCGAATGGATAAAAGGGAACTTACTGTCGTTTAAAACGGATAAATATAGCATGGTTTATGCAAGTGATCAGCCAACCAGCATATACAAGCAGAAGGCCATATCATGAAGACCGTGTCACAGGCGCGCGATCTTGGGGTACTGATTTAGTATGGCCTCGACTGCTCGAAACAGTCCGTGAATGTGTCCAAAACTGCATCTTGCAGAGTGCGTTCGACACTTTGATCTTGCCGCAAATGCTCGACGCTTATAAGGCCCCATGTGGAGTACAATATTCAATTCTAACAACCATTATAGTGGCACGAAGTTGTTGCACTTGAGACACCACAGCGGATGACGACTCGACTAAGGTGCTAAGGGCTCGTAACATCTCCCACCTCACCGGCGACGGAAGTCTGTAAGAATTTACAATGAAAGGTAGTGTCGTGCACGGGGTGACCTCAACCTGACCAGTTTGAGAAACCCCAACAACATTCTAGGTTACCTGCTGAAACGTGGCTAACATATTAATCAGGGCGACCATCAGCTTAAGCCTGCCGCGTAATGTTGTTGATTAGGTCACCGGTTGTAGAAGGCTCTTCCAACTTGCGTCGTTTCTGTGCACACCTTATCAACTCTTAAAAAACGTCGCGACAAAGCATTACACAATTCTGCACTCGCGTTTATGAGGTAAGGACAAAATACAAACCAATATTGTTATTACCAGCACCCATCATAAAATCGAGGCGAATACAACGGCAAGTCGATAGGTGTGTGACCTGTCGCAAAGCCCTTTGAGGGCGTGAAAAATCAAGCTTGGCTTCGATTAAGTATCTGGTTGCATCAAAAATAAATATATTACTTATAAAGTATCATAGATGACGAATTTGGTAAAGTATCGCGTCTCACGGCCTTGCACGTTTGAACGGTTTCCATGCGACCGTCAACAGCTGTTCCAGGTCATGGCATGGAAACACGACATATCCGAGAGATGAGCCAATTATCACCAGCTTGTTTAGCTAGTTGCTGTGTGACCAGTTAGTGGCTATTCTAAGGTCTCAGGCTGGCAACCAGATCCGTATGCTAGCCGAATGGGAGCTAAGCCACTTAGTACCGGCATGTCTGAACAGTTGCTAATCGCCTTAGTGTCTTGCTCAGAACCAGATGAACTTGTGAACCTATGAATTTCATCCGACCACTCGATGGAGCATTTGAAGCTATAGCGTTGCACTCGTGTTATACCACTCTTCCATTATTATTATTATTACTATTATTATTATTATTAATGCCATCGCCACTGGCATGGTGGCGTGAGCCATGTTTACTGGGCCAATGGCAATTTGGTACTCTGATAATGGTTGAATAACTGAACCGAGGTGGATCCACTCGGACCAATAAGCGACCTAATCATACATATTGTCATGATGGGGACGCTACTCCAAACTTAAGCAGCAGTACTACAGCATCTACTTCAATCCCACAACGTATCATTCTTCTTGCAATTATCTTTCTGGGTTGGTGATAATACAGATCATAAAGCTACCTAGCTTGTATTAATAGGGCAATAGTTTAGAGCAATTGCCAAGGAAACAGTAGCCTAATCAAGTAATGCTATCGAACGATAGAAGCCAGAGACCTTCCGGATCGAGGCGGGTAGAATATTTTACGTTGAATGAGAACTCCAGCTAGTTGTATAACAGACGCCCAGAAGCTAAATCGTGCCAAATTCACTCATCTCTAGCATCAAAGAGGAATGGGGCCATACACGAAACCACTGAGACTCGGTGCTTGAAATACAACTTAAAATTGATGCCGAATACGATATATTACAAAAAGCAGGCCAAACTCAATACTATATTATTACAACAATTCTTGTAGGGGTCAAAAAAGATGTTGTATAGTAGCCGAATGCAAGAATAGGTATAAGGGCAACTTCTACCCTATAAAACATCTATTACATAGAACAGTATATCAGGAATTTCAACAGAGGCTGAGGAAACAACGGAACTCATCAAACGTGATGTACTTGAAAAACAGCACCACAAACACGAAAATAGAGCAAAGCATGTACAACATACTGGTTTCCGGTGGTAAGGATCAAAGGCCAAAGACAGTCGGGCAACCCTCAAAACACCACATCCGCCTCTCATCCAATCTGGTTCACTACGATGCCCCTAAAACAGTTCGCTGTTAACTATACCTAGTGAAAGTGAATTTCAGAGATAAATAGACTGACATCGTCGTACCTTGGATCTACCTCACACGCGATAGTATGCAAAATGAAACTCGATAAATATGCCATCTACACAAAGACGTGCCGAAATAATACCACGGATGAACAGTTTCAGCATCCTGGTAACTTACATGATGCAAGTAACGGTAGAACTTAAAGTGTGACCTCCCATTCAGTAGTCGAAAGGAAGAACTGTGCACGGAAAATCTGTGATATTTTCACTTTGTGCACTTACGATTACATATGGAGAAGTTACGGCGGCGTCACGTGGCGCAATGTGTGTGGCCCATCAGGTTTCCCTGAACGGTGCTTCATATTATATTCAGTTAGTGGCATGAAAGCGTGCAGCGAGTGAGTAAAGTACTTGGTCTTTTCGGATTGAGATGAGAACATCAATACCTACTTGCGCTTTAGTGCACACATCGAAAAATCGAGGTCGGTTTGTTGTTTTGTGATCGAACTGAAGCCGCTGGGTGTGTACCATAGCCGCTCGCCCAAATAAACCTTTAGACGTCAAACACACAGGGAAATAAGTCTTAAATCATCATCCGTCACGTCAGGTAGCTACCAGTATGGAAGTGAGTAGCGAACAGGGAGTGCACCATGCTATGCGCAACCTCCTACTAGCATCTAGTTTCTTTCTTGCGGCAATAAAGACTCTAAGTTAGCAATATATATAGCGCAGTTCAGCTTTTTGAATGCTTGATTTCATTGTATACCTTATTGGTCGCGGATGCCCCTATGTTTGCAGCTCATGTCTAGCGGTGGCTACTACTACTTGACCAGGGGATGAGACATGATTCCCTCACCTAAAAGCTAAAACCCTTCATCAGGTGGACACACCCAACTCTAAGATCATTAACGTAGACTAGTTGATCAAAAGCGATCAACCGAACGTCGACCGAGAGTTCCCTCAAAGAGTCAAGAATCAAATTCACCATGCAATCCGATATGAGCAGGGGCACACGAGCCGACTCCATATACCAACTCGGAGAGTGCGCAGGATCCTGTGTGACATGAGTAATATCTGAGGTTTCCGAGCGAAAGCTGCAGTGAAGATTCGGATTTCCCCGGCCTGTTTATGTTCATAGGCAAAGCTAACAATATGCGCGTAACAAATACTGCTGGAATATCTGTAACAGTATCTGAACTTCCGATCAGCAGAAAGTCCCACTTGAAAGGGTGAAGTGATTTTTACATAAGTACAAGTGTCGGTTGCACCAAAAAACTCTAGCACCTACTGTGGAGCTGAACTAACCAAAATCTTAGTCACAGATAAGCAGGGGAGTGATGACAGTTAGTGTGAAAGAGAACGACGCTTGTATGCTTAATGCATATGGTTAACACAAGAAGTAGACGGAAGTCGAGAATGATCATGCGCCATCATTGATGATAAGCAGGAATCAAGAAAGTGTATTGCTAAAAGCAAGTGTGCTTATGCGAAGTGACCCTTGGGTGCACGAAGGCACGCCAAGTGCCCCGTTGAGTTGAACGGTGTGTGTTTCCAAACGGTCGGTAAAATAGTTTGCTTGCGCTGACGTCGTGGAGGAAGCGAAAATAATGCGTACGTTTGTGAAACAAATAATGATGACAGAACAGTGAAGTTGCTCAAAATGAGCGGATGTATTTTGTGGCGAGAGTAAGGAGATGTCAAAAGATGGCTTACTAAAGTTGTTCCCCTGATGCTCTCTTGGCTTCTTTGGGCTACAATGTAAGACAGCAAAGAGAAAACAGTGTATAAATAGGCTATGGGAGAATGTATGGAGTGGTACGCATACTGTGTCATAGAATAATATAGGATCACATGCAAAAGTTGGAAGTGCTTCATGAAATGGTCAAAGCTTAAGAGCTTTGTAGAAGCTGAGGTGCAGAAAGATTAACTGTTCAGAAAATAGATGAATAAAAGACAAAATGTTGATGTGTCAAGATGCTCAACTTTGTAAATATCTCAAAGCGAAAGTAGAAGTAAGCGAGGCACGCGGGGGGGGGACAACGTTCCGAACTGAGAGTGACCTGCTGTTACTCGGTTCGCTGTTTCTACCTCGATCGGTTTATTGCAATAGAAGTTAAGCCCGTGAATGAGGAAAATAATGTACTCTACAGGTAGAAGCCAGCAGGATCGTTAGATACCACTTTTGGGTTCATTTACAGGTTGTTGGATAAGGTAATGGTGAAGAGATAGAAAACGAAATGTCCTGGTGATCGGTCCGTAGACGCTACGTAAGCAAGGTTTCGTGTTTGGAATATATACTCGAGTAAGGATGTGCCTGATGAGTTTAGCCATAGCTTTAAAGCCAAGAAATTTGAATTGGTGGTTTATTCAAGTGGTTTGTCCTGATTAATGACAATCTGCCGTTTGAATAGAGGCGGATATGCAGTGCCCCAATTATCATGGGTAAATGAATTGGAACAACCAGGGAAAAATTGATCGAACTATCGCGCAGTTACTAAACGATCTTTGCGTAACTCATGACCGCATTTGATTTATCCATATTTTTTTTACAAAACCATATAAATTCGGTTGAACAATTTTCTTTCCATCTGTCTGGGTGATGGAGATTAAATCGGTAAAGGGTGCCATGGTAGACCATGACGAAGAAGCCGATTTACAGTAAAACAGTAAGTTCCATGCACTACCATTGACTGGCTAACCGAACAACCTCCTCGTGGTGCCAGCTGGGTGGTTCGGGTTTAACCCGTTCCAGCAAATAGTTCGGCGGCAGTGTTCCAGGACGTGGTGGGTTTTCGCCTGGCAAGCGTTCTCCCTATAAAAAGCCACAAATGTCTGCTATACAACACTGCGACGTGGCGGATGTGACTCGCCACAAACTAAAGTCACTGGTCCGTGGATATTCGGAAAATGTTATCCAACCCACGAAAATCAATCGCTTATTCTCACATTCCTGACGATAACAAACAGTCAAAAATTCTGTGGCGCATTCAAAAACACCAGCTACATTCTTACACAATTACATACGTATATACACCCATATACTTACATACACTGTTATGCCAAACATGTTCTTTTGTACAATTTGATCACACTATGTTAGCTAAATATGATCATGCCTGTAAAGGTGTGCCTCGCATTGTCGAGAATAAAAATTTATTTATTTATTTATTGAATTACTACGATTATATCGAGATGAATACGAATAGGGCGTCCAGTGGTAAATTTGTTGGCTCCAGAGATCGTATTTGGTCATCAGTGTGCAGTTATCAAGGGGGCTGTGCCGAGTCTATTGTGAAGTCTAAAAAACTAGACACCAGCAAAGGTATTGCGGCAGCCTTCAGTGATTAAGGCAGCAGGAACGCCGTTTGATACACTAAACGTGGCGTATGAAATCGACTTTGAAAATGGTGGGAAAATCAGTAAACACATCGCAAAGGCTAACTACTGCGGTGGTACAGATTGTTAAACAGATGGGATGAATTTGTCGAAACCCTGGCAAACAGCCTTAATCCAGTCAGTTTGATGAGCGTCGGTGGATAGAAACGAGATTGTGATGGAATACCAACATCACCTCCGCACTGAGGTCTTAAATGTTAACGTGATGCTCAGTGGGTTAGCTAAACAATTTTCTACCACTGTGCACGTAGGAAGGAAGACCAACAAGCGTCTGTAACAGCTTACTAAATGAACCAACTCGTTGTGAATATGCTACACATTTGCTATAAAATGGCGGAATTTCATGTCGGTTCACTTGGTCTCAAGTAGCTTGTGTCAAAAGCGAAACACTGTACAAGAAATAAACTAACCGGTTGATTCCAAGTATTACCATCAGGATGGTTTCCCGACCGGATCTATGTACATTTAAAGATATCACATAGCAGCCTTAACGTTAGGCTTGGCTTCATAGCTGAGAAAGCGACACTGGATTGAAGCATGAACGAAATTAACAATGCTGCTACTGCATCTGTTGACTTCAAAAATAATAAACAGGATAGCACCTGGCAGTATACATTGAATACATTGAATTATAGAAAGCAGATGGGAGAACCCTTGTCAGCTTCATCACATCCCAAATGGACTGAGGAAGGTGCGTGTTAGCAAGAAAAGGTGTTCACAGCGGGGGAGCACAGTTACACGAATAACAGCACGATCCTGATACACTAAGCAGGTAGAAATCCAAAAGCCTCTTGAAACATTCCTCAGTGGGAGCACCGACCACAGCTTCTGTTAAATTGTTCCAATCGTTAACTATCCGGGTAGATAAAGTAACCTCTAGGCGAACTCGATGCCTCCTCGGTTTGAAGTTCCCAACTGTATCCATGAGTTGAGATACTTTTGTTGATCTGGAAGTACTGTTGGAGATCGCTACCCAACTCACCTCTCAGAATGCGTATTGCGTAGATTAATCTCCATGACGGCGGCGGTAGTCTAGGGAGAACAGATTCATACGTGAGAGGCGATCGTAGTAGGACAAATTCCGAAGAGCTGGAACCGATTTGGAACTTCGCCTCTGAAGTTTCTCCAGCAGGTTGCACTCGAACATGGTGAGTGGGTAACTCGCCGGCAAGCTGTACTCAAGGAGGGAACGCACATGTGAAACGAACAGGAGTTTGAAAATACCAGGAGTCATCCGAGAGAATGATCTTCTTATAGTCCAAAACATCCCATTAGCTGCAGCGACTTTCTTTGGGGTATCCTGGGTTGTTCGTAGATCGGAAGATACAACGATGCCGAGATCGTTTGTTCGATTGGCATTCGTTAGAAGAGAGCCACCGATGTGATAGAGGCCAAGTGGATCAGTAGCCTCAATCTAGAAGACAAAGCACTTATCGCGGTTTATAGGTAACCCTCAGAAGACGGACCAGTCATGCAACATGTTAAGTGACGAATGCAATCTATCAACATCATCAAAGCTGTTGACCTCCATCCACAGTTTCAAATCATCGGAATAGACTAGACAATCGGATTGAAGCACGGTCGGAAGACCATTAATGAAGATTTTGAATAACTCAGGGCCGAGGACCAAATCTTGAGACACCGCACTGATTATCAGAACGGGTGCGGAATGGGTTTCGTTCACCTTCGTTCACATTGAACGGCTTTTGAAAAAATCAGCGATCCCAGTGACGCCAATTCTCGAAAGTTTGAAGACGTTCATGGGGAACTTCGGCAAACATTTTGCTGAAGTCGACAAAAACGACATCCAGACCTTTGACGGCGTCTAACAATTTCGCCCATTTCTCCCGAGCAATGAGTAGGTTATAGATGCAAAAGCGTGCTTTTCAGAACCCATGTTGAGCGTTGAAATGCTTTAGGATTTTCTCTATGACCTTACAGAGGACTGAGGTCAGGCAAATTGGTCTATAATTAACAGAGTCTTGCCGATCCCCACCTTTGTATGCAGGCTTCACACCTACTTTCCAAATAGAGGGCAGTCAACCAGCTGCGACAGAGTCGGAATACTTGACACAGGGGAGCAAGAATGTAATCCGCCACGGTTTTGCGAAAAAGAGGATGTAAATCATTGGGACCTGGAGAAGAGAGTTAACATCTAATTCAAGAAGGAGTTTCATGACCACTGAGGAATTAATTACGATGGACAAAGGGGGAAAGGTGGGAAGGAACAGAGTCGCAAATTTACAAGGAAACGGTGATACTGAAGAGTAAACAGAATACTAATAGGAGGCAAGTAGTTCGGTTTTAGCGTCATTGTTGCGCAGTACAATATTATCCAGAGGGGGTAACAGGGCAGGAACATCATTACCGACTTTGGTTTTGTAGCTTAAATATGAAAACAGCTTTTTGGGGGCAGCTGCGGATTGTGTAGCCAAGGATAGTTTGTGAAATAGTCGCTTTTCCTGCTGTTTAGTAGTGCAAAGTTCCTAACTGCTTTGTACTCCGAATAAGAGGTGGCAGCCTGGTTAGCCTTGAATCTGTCCCACAGCTTCCTTCGTTCATTCAAGAGGAGCCTCAGTTCTGAATCAATCCACGGGGGACCTTTGGAAAAGGATCTTTTTCCGGAAATGGGGACAATAAGATCAACGAGCGATATCGTTCTAGAGAACAAGAGCTCCCATGCATCTTCGAGTTCCAGATGTTGAGGAATGCTTCAGTCAAGCGCGCTCGCTGCCGATCTTAGGAGTGAAAGATCAGTGCGCCAGAAGTTCCGAGAATACACTGTCTTGTTGTTAACTGCGTGACGGTTAGCCCACAGAAAGGAGACGACACAATGGTCGCTTTTGCCAAATGGTTAGAGAACAGTTAGGCTAGATACATCAGACGGTGCTGGCTTAAACACCAAATCGAGGATGTGCGTGGACTCACCCGGAGGGATCCGAGTAGGTATCTGTACGTGCTGAAACAAATTTGCCTCCAGGACGGATTAGAGTAAAACTGCATTGAAGGAGTCTGGAAGAAGATCACGGTGTGCAAGATCCTAGTCAACCCTTGGGGCATTGAAATCGCGCATTATCAAACAGTCTCTACCTGCTTCATATGTTCTTAACGACCTCAACAAGCAGGAACTTGATCCCAATGGAGCTCTTTATACAACACCAACGATGGGTGATCTGCATCAATCGTCAACTCGACGCCGAATTACTTTCACAGTCCGCGATGTGATCCGCGATGACTTCCACAATATGAACTTTAAGGTCAGCTTTCCAGTAAAGAATGGCGCCATCACCAGATGTAATTCCTATACGGTCAGCTTGAGCGAGAGGATATCCTTCGATGCTCACCCCGGTGCGGA